CTGGAGCCCCTGCCCCTTTGCCCAGCTCTCCCGACTTCGCTGGGGACTCACCTGGATACCTGCCCTAGGGGCCTTCCCGGGCTTCCCCAGCAGCACCTGCCCCCTTCCTCCCCATTGTCACACCTGCTGCACAGGTTGCGATGCCCACCTCTCCCACCAGGGAGCTCCCTGAAGGCCGGAGAAGCCCAAGTGGCCTGGCCTACCTGTTATTCACACAGAGTCTCTGCTGCGTTACTGTGTCTGAGTCCAGGCCTCTGAGCATGCTGTGGGCCTGGCTGCGAGGTGCCGTGCAGAGGGGCTGCAAGGAGACCCGAGATCATGTGCGAGTCGTGGGGGGAGCTCAGCTCAGCTCGCGTGATCCCACACGCTGTGTAGTGGCATTAAATGGAAGTCCATGTGAAACGGTCCCAAAGTGTTCTGCCCACCTGGAAACACTCTGCTCTCTTCCTTAGATCCAGTGCCATCTCCGTTGTGAAGATCCTGAGGGTCTTAAGGGTCCTGAGGCCGCTCAGGGCAATCAACAGAGCAAAAGGACTTAAGGTTGGGACCCTCCCCCCAAGGCGGGCTGGCTGTGCTTGGGGCTAGCTGTGTGACTGACTCTTTAGGCTGGAGCTGGGCTGCGCCTGCTGGACTTTAAAGTGGGTTGTACACCAGGAAAGAACATTTCTAAGCAATGAAGCTGCCTCTACGAACTGCTGATAGCATTTAAAAAATTATCTTCTTAATTTTGAATGTGAGCCAATTTGTCTTTATATAATTACTGTTCACCTATCAATTTTCATTATTAATAGTGTTTCTTTGGGTTTATTATGGTCTTTAAATCTGTTCTTATACAGGTTGTACAAAAGGCTAGAGAATCTGCATTTTCCTGAGACCTTTTATGGGGTGGGGGGCCCTGTGGGTTTGTGTGCCATGCTCCACCCTGTAGGCACTTCTTCTAACTAAACTGCTTTGGGGGGACCAGGGAGACCGCCAGGGTGTCCTCACAGGTGGCCATGATGCCCTGGGACGTGCCCCACAGAAAACTCCCTGAGAAACTGCAAAGTCAGAAAAATCATATAAAAATGCACACAAACCCAGTCTTGGCCGGTATCAGCTCACCCCACGGCCAAGACAACAAAGGCAGGTGGCTCTGTGTGTGTTCGCCCCTCCCCTCCCCGCAGCACGTGGTCCAGTGCGTCTTCGTGGCCATCCGCACCATCGGCAACATCATGATCGTCACCACGCTCCTGCAGTTCATGTTCGCCTGCATTGGTGTCCAGCTGTTCAAGGTGTGGGGAGGGAGGGCCCTGGGTGGCGCAGTCCGGCTGACCGCCGGGGTGGAGGGGCCCTGCGCTGACGTGTGTCTTGTTTGTGTCCAGGGAAAGTTCTATCGCTGCACGGACGAGGCCAAAAGCAACCCTGAAGAGTGCAGGTGAGAGTCCTGAGCGCCAGGGTGGGAATCTGGAAGAACGAATGGAACACGTCAAGGATGCGCTTGTGCTA